AAGTTACGGTTCCCGTGGGATTCATTAATTTAATTTTTTAATGTTTACTCGATCATTCTGCAACGGTTAAACATATCTTATTGAAATTTGGCACAGATGTAAAACAAAGTCTGGAGTGTACACTTGGATAAGCTTCATCCCCGAGAAATGTCCGGTTCCCGAGGGATACGTAGCTATTTGTTATTATATTTATATAGTTCGTATGTTTTCTAATACCACGCGGACGAAGTCGCGGGCAACAGCTCGTAGTTTAATATTTTCCCCAATATCTATGCTTCTTTTTAAGATATAAATGGTTGTATAGAATTATCCTGTTGTGTTATCCGAAGTTAAACCTTCCAAAGCGTACGAAAAAAAAGCCTACCAAAGCGTATACATTTCACGCACTCTGAATATAACCAGGCTCAGGGAAAACAGAATTATTCATTGTTAGCGCACTTCACAAAGGATAGAAATCTTTTATTAATATATGCATGTAGTCGCAGAAATTAATTCGCTACCCATTGAAAATTAACAGCAAATTCTCACTGTAATGAATTTCACTAACCAACCTTAATTATCGACTACCGGACTGTTTGCTTTAATGTTTCTGTTTACGAACTTATTGTTTTCTTTGTAACAGAAAAATGTTCTACATTTCGCTAATGCTGCAGTAATGCGTCGACCGAGAAAGGATTTGCAAGCCATTGTACGGGTACTTGCGACCTCCTTAGCGGACACAATTCAACTCGCATAGTTATGCCTTTGCCTATTCTTGCGTACAACACTAGCCTCTTCGAGAACGAAATAGGTTACTGAAATTTTAAATTGTATTTTCTTACTATTATCTTAAAACCGAATGTTTAGAACTATCGCACACACTTGTTTTGATTCCTATAAGCTTATATGGAGGTGCGTACACTACTCGATTTTTAATTGTGCAACTTAACAGTGGAATTGGCTGCGAAACAATTGACAATCGACAATCGTACAGTTGTGCGATAATTTAACCAAAGTTGTGCGCCCGCTCCTAGATGGATAGATGTCTGCTATGACGTATACCGGCACAACTAATCTCGTTGATATTTGGCATAGATGTTGTACTTAGTTTGGAAGAACACATAAGGTACTGATATTTTTCGTTCACTTCCAAGCGTGATTGTTAGTGCTATATTTCTTCCTATAAATCTTACCTTAATATACAAATACGAATGATTGGAAGATGGAATGGATTGATTCATACCTCCATTCCATTCATCAAAGTTACTGCGGAAAATAGATCGATTTTGTAATCTATCTTCTAGACTGTTCTAGAAGTCAGGAAATGGTCGTTAATGTAAGTTTTAGTAAATGAAAAAATGCATTCTTAATATTCGAACAAACTGAAGTGTCCTCCCAATCTTTAGCGCTTGTTAAACACGTAGTTAACAATTAACATCACATAGTATGTGTTGATATTGAGAGTATGTATGTCTAATAGTAATGTTTGCAACGCACCATTACTTATGCGCAATGCGGCATTCTCACACCGATGTATGTAATCATATTCTGCTTTCGATAGAGGAAATTTACCGATTGCTTAATCAGCACTAATGTACAACAGATTTTTTTCTGGATAGTTAAAGAATCTTCTAATATCTATAAATTACAATTTTGATAAGATAGAACTCTACTGGTAGAGATAGACCGAGAGTAGATTGCGTAAAAGGTGATATAATCAAGAAGGGAGTGATGACTGAGATGAAGATGATAGAGTTGTATGGAGGACAAAGACCTGTCGCGCCGACACTATGGGCGTAGGATAAGGTAAGGGAAATGATCCAACAGTGGGAGTAGTTTTAATAATACGCATGAGTGGAAGTAATCCCTCGCTTCAGTTATGCAGTGTGACACGTTTTATGAGACACGTTATATCCGGCGTTTATGTCGGTAAGTGTTGGTAGTGTCGGGGGATGTTACCTTTTAAGTTAATATCTCAATTGTCCGCCTCATCGACCGCTTGGTGATTTCCCAATTGAAATACGGAAGGCTGCGACCCCTTTATGACCCTTACGTAAATTGCAACTTCGTATATGTTAAATGTTACATTATTATTATTGTTATCGTATACCAGTGATACTGGTGCCCCGGTCAAGATTTTAGAGCATCCCCTTTTTTAAACACTTGGAGGGGGGGGGGGCGTTCACAGAGTTATATGAGACTTTGTGATTCACTGACTATTGGCGCCTACCTCTGTCCGTTGCCCTGGGCTGCCAAATGCTTATTACCCTAACGCCAACCCTTAATTGCCCTAGTAATAACAGTCAGATTTTTTTGAATATCCGTTATTACAAATGAATTGCTATTGCCTGAATTGGATAACTTTTTATCTTCCTCTATGAAAAAAAAAATAATACAACAGTATGCTTTTGTATATGAACATTTCGTCAATGGTGACCAAAGGTTACTTTTTTTTATCGACATGTACAGATTCTTGGTCCGTACTTTTTTTTGCACAGTTTATATCTTTTTCTCCATTATTTTTATTAATATTTTAGGTTATAATTACACTACTACTAAACACCAAAGGTTGGTGTATCCTATTTTTTTATATAACAACTAGCTGTTGCCATGCGGCTTCATCCGCATGAAATTATGAAAATTTTATTTTATTGTTTACATTTGTAAAATTATCAATAGCAAATGAGAAAATGACATGACATGACAAACCTCAGCAATCTTTCTTTGTTGATGTTGGCAGCAACTTATGGTCCCTTTTCTACATTGGTGTTTTCATCCAAAATATTTACCCCCTAAGTTTAATGGCGTGATATAAAGCCTAAAGCGTGACGAAAGTTTAGGGCATTTTATTAAAAAGAGAATTATTCAAAAACATGCTGTAATTGCTGACATCTTAGGCAACAAAGAAGTGTTTGTTTACGCTTTATTATAATAGTATAGAAGATAGTTGAATGTGTTTAATTAATAACGTACCGTGAATAGGTCAAAAGTCATCTTCGTGTGAATCGCTCTATTTAATTTAATTACACTAATAGCGAAGTATTCGCATGACTTCAGCATTGCGTGGGGCGCTACCTGAATCATCATTCAATTCTCTGTTACAATTTTATTTGTAACTTGTACTAAATTTATGTTTATAGAACTGGCTTACACTTGTCTTGAGAGTCTAAAAAAACACCAAAGGTGTTAGAGTCGCAATAAAATAGATATGCTATTTTTAATACCATCCTCAACGCTATTGCCATCCCTAAAATTAATAGTTATTATCAATAAGAAAATATTTTATTACACTTCCAGTTTTAATAAAAATAACAAAGGGTTAACGTAAATAGATGTTTGGAAATAAAGAAATCAAACTTGTTTTCTTAGACACGGCGCCACATTTATTTGCGTTTGTCGGTTAAGGTTGTCAACTATCAATAAACTAAGCTGGATAGCGATGATAAAACGACTAATGTCCACTCGTCCACTCTTGATTCGTCAACACTGAAAATGTGTCCACACGAAATCCTTATGAAAAGTCATTCAGTGACTTGTTTTACCGTTTTTATAAACCAGAGTATTTCAGCAGAAGATATAAAATTTGGCAACCCTAATGTCGGTGTAGAAGTTGTTTACATGTTTGTAGAAGTTTCAAGTTGGTTACAAATTGCGTTCTAGGGTTGGCATATCAAGGACAAGTACCGAACTTGCTATCTAGAGATTTATTGTTTTGCTGTTTCTTGGATTTATATTACGCTTTAACAAACAAGCTTAACGACTTTAGTTTAGAGTATACAACCCTTTGTTATTTTTGTTTTCTTTAGTGCTACTTTATTTCAAACCATTTAAAAAAAAATCTTTTCATTTCTTCATATCCGAGGAAGTTATCTTATGTATCTTGCCATTGCAAGAAGGTAAGTTGCTCATATATGTTTATTACCGAAAAATATTCAGTTCACTTGCATGTATCCTTATTTTAACTAAACCATCTAAGTATTCTATATACAATTTCAATCAATCAAAAGCGAGGAAATTTCCAAGAGTATAAAATTTGTGTTTATTTACATTAAATGCTCCGTAAAATCTCATTCGATGTCAGTAATCGTTTTCCTCGTAGGAGCTGACTTCATCGGCGATATCTTACTATCGAGTCAACTCCATAAATATCAATATGATGTAATTATATTCGTAAAATTTAAAAACATTTGTTTATTTTATTACTAGAATACATTTAGCAGTTTTGAGCAAATTGTTTTTATTATATTTTAAAATACTGCCTCGAGTGTTGTAAGTGAAACCTATTTGGTGTTTTGCAGTGTAAGACTGGCCGTATTTAAATAATGACATAAGTTAATTTAATTTGAGTTGTTCGAATGTAGAGAAAAAGAACATGTCTAGAATAGTATAAAAATAATATCTTGTTTTTATACACCGTTGTATTGATATTAATTTATATGAGAATAAATAACAATCTTTATTTATTTAATCATTTTTGTGTGCTGGCTAAACCAAATTCCTATCATCGAGTATTGCATGTATGATTTACTAGCTGTCTCCCGTGACTCCGTCAGCAAGATATTAGCGTGTGCACCTACAAAACTATCGCACAATTGTTCAGTCTCTCTTTGATTCCTATGAGCTTATATGAAGGTTCGCACACTACTGGATTTTTAGTTGTGCAGACAGTAGAATTTGCTGCGGAACAATCGATAGTAGCACAACAGTTATGCGATAGTAGTCAAAGGTGTGAGCCCGCTTTACACCGCGTTCTACCAGGCTGTTTTACTTCACTATCAGATTTCATCCAAGACGACACAGTTGTTCTGGAGATACTAATAACTGCTAAGATATCAATCTATCAATTAATAAAAAGTAAGACAACGCAACACCATTAAGTTGGAATCCATTGTAGTTTTAATTTGCATAGTTACAGCTGTATCTATTATTAAAAATTGCGGTGTCCAGAGCTTTAAATACACCGCATCATTTACATCGCGTCGCATTTGATATAAACAAGGATTTTATATAATAAAACAATGTACATTTGTGAGTACACAATTCTAGGTTTTTTAAGTAATGGTAAGTTTTATTTAAATTATTTACTAAAAATTTAAAGAAAGGTCACAGATGTCGCTAATTATGTTAACATGATGTAGGTTGACAATTTTCTATTGGATTGTTGACGAAATACATTTTGTACTTATCGCGTATTTCCATAGCTTCAAATGAAGTTCTGCTGTTCCGCTTCGCTTTTAATACTTTCTTGTGTATTCCTTGTGATAAAGAAAGGCAACATTTTTTGTAGGTTTTATCATTGTCTCCGTCCTGGTCTCTTACAATGTTATGTAACAAACAAGCTACATGTATAATCAATGTCGCATGTTTCGCGCTTGTTTCCAGTGGTTTATTAAAAATACGCCATTTGGTCGTTAGTATGTCAAAGGTGAAATCATTGGTTGCTCTCACTCTTAATAATATTTCATTGAAGATTCTCGTCTCTCTGTCCGTTTGCACAAATGGATAAGGGCGCAGTAAATATGTTTTTAACGGGAAAGCAGCACTTCCCAACAAAACATGCGGTAATGAGATATCGGAGCCAGGCAGCTTCTGACTTGAGGGTACATTAAATTTATTAGTAGCTAGCATCTTGTTTAATTTAGTTGCATCAAAATGAAATGGTGTACCGTCACTTTCAGATCCATTTCCTTCAATTTCTATAGCAGTAAATTTGTAATCAGCGTCAGAAATAGCATGGAGTACAAAAGGAACAACCTGTTTGCGTTTCTTTTTCCCAGTTTTAGATTTCAATATCTTCATGATGCGAAAATTCTTTGCACCTATTGCTCCTATGCAATTGGGGAATTTCCATTTCATGTAAAAGTCGTCAGTTATCTTTTTAAAACTATTTTCAGTTGGTTGTGGCATATGAAGATGCTTTAAAGCCATCCATATGGTGTGTAAGGTCTGGTAAATGGTTTTTCCAACGGTACCTGGAGTAAGGCGATACGTGACCGCCAGCGACTTGAACGATAGTCCATGTGCAAGGAATCTGAAACAAATGTTAAACAATTGTTAATATTATTACCCAATTACCATGAATCATTCTTGTTCAACATTCCATAAAAGGTACATATGTACACTTACCTTAAAGTGAGAAACAATTTTTCTGCATTAGTAATAACCATTTTGGATTTCATTTGCCAAGATAAATGCTCAATATGTTGTAGAATATAATCAAAAGTATTCACACTCACTCCTGTATATGTATGAAACTTATATGGATGCGTTCTGAAATTTTCATATAAATAACAAAGTGTACTAGTTAAATATCGTTCATTCGCTTCTTCTATTATTTTCATATCAAGAACGTCATCTCTGAGAATTATACTGCTGTCAAAACATAGGAGAGATAATTTAGACATTGCCATTTTTTTGAGCGCGTGATAGGTCTGCTCGGACTCTGTTGCTAGCGTCTACTGATTGAGTGTATCTGGGGGCATGCGTACTGCGCCGACGCGATACCCCACCTCCCCACCTCACCGCCATCCCGTCACCCTCCTCCCTAGCCTGGAATGAAGTTGCGACTTGCGGGAGAGGGAGCGGGCGCGTCCGTGAAATAACAAACAAAAATATATGTGAATGTTCATATTCATATTGGTCATCAGGCGTTTGCGTGATCGATCGAGTTCTAAACGGTTAAACAAGCACTGGATATTACTAAACGCTTAAAGTCTAGCTCACACAATAATACGGGATCCACATCCAGTCCCCAGTTATCTTTAGGATGTCATAAAGAGCTCGTTACCATAGAAAATTGTCTACGGGAGAAAAATATACACATGATGTTATAGAGTAAAACTTGAGAATCCGACGCCTGCCTATTGACTTGATCAAGAATGCGTGATCTCAAACCGGTGTATGTCTATGATGAGGTTAGGAGACTGGGGAGAAACCAGAAAAGGCTTCATTTCCCCTGCCTTATCCTACTCTCGTTGGGTCGGCGCACCGGGTTTTCGTCCTCCTAATAACTCTATCATCCGTCATCTCAGTCATCAGTCCCTTCTTGATCATGTCACCTTTCACGCAATCCATCTATCTCTTTCTAGGTCTACCTCTAAAACTTGAAAAGGCTTGACAGCTTAAAATCCGAAAAATATATTACAATGTTTTTTTTATTTTTCATTGTTTAATTTACTAACATACGCAGATATATTTGGACTAGAGTGACCGATATTCAAGCGGTCGCTGGTGATGTAACGGCGTACGCAAATAAATAAAACTATCGAGACGGAAGACTAATTTTACGAGCATCCTAACCCAAATCGAATCGTAAAGGTTTGATTTTATGTTCTTTCATAGAACATTGATTAATATATATTCTATGGAATAACTCCCACATTAAATTATAGCTTTATTACTTGAACAATAAAGTGAAAGTAAACAAAAATGTTTTATACCCAAGTTTATGTTTATTAAATAAACTAAGTAAACCTTTACGTTCATTCATTCAAAAGACCGTAGGTCTAGAGATTATTTATTTACATAATTAAACGAAAAAGTTACTTCAAAAACTGGCTATGTAACGGATACAATTCTTAAAAATTAAAAAGCGAGATTTAACGTTTGAAATTCTACTCCGCATTTCCAATCCCCTATTTAAACCTTTTAAAACAGAAACGTTTTATTCTCTGCTTAAATTGAAAAGCTTTAATAAATACTTTTAAAATTTCATTTAGGAAAAGAATTGCTATGACCTTTTTATTAAAAAAAATGAATAAACGTGTTGTGTTAATTATACTCTCACAACAACAATAGTAGTGTTTGTCTGAACATTATAATCTTTTTATGTGTTGTACACGTGTGTACACGTTATTTATTATGTGTTTTGACAGATCCATCTCCCTTCGCTTTCCTTTAGACATGACAGCTCAATCTTCATTATTGTTCTAACAAATTAAGGCCAGAGAAAGTGTTCTATTAAGACATGGTTTATGATTAGGGTTGTCACCTGTATGGCATGACAGTGCCGAGTCATTGGACTTTTTTCATCGTCCGCCAATAAGATGACTCCTAGCTAAGTGATCACTGATCGTAGTTTATTAGGATTTTGTTATGTTTTTTAAGCTAGCGCTTGACTAGAAAGAGAGTGATGATGCAGTCGAAAGATGGTACTTAATAAGTAGCTATTTACTCTTCTTTTTCCCCACGTCATGTGGACGGAATAACTGACGCCGGCAACTTGTTTCAATCCCTTGCCGTACGCATAAGGAACGATGATTCAAACTTTTTCGTCTGAACTCGCGGTGCATCAACTACAAAATGATGGAATCCAGCGGTATGCATGAACGTCCGATGGTAAAATGGTGATAGTGGAATTATATCGTGCAGTTCTTGTGCACACTCTCCAATCTGTAGCCTGTAAATATTAGGGGCCAGTTTAGGGTATGTTTTCTGTAAGTTGGCAGCCCTGTTTGTTATTGTCCGTTATTCGATTGCTCTTGTATCCGATTAAAGTATTAAGTACAGATATTAGATATGTCTCAAGTTTTATAACAATTGACAAGTTAATTTAACAAATTGTTTAATTTTGATAGTGTTTTGTTTTTTGGCGTTTTTTTTTTAATTTGTATTTCTTTCATTGTACTTAATTTTATTAATTTTTTTACAGGTACTTAACATGGAAGTAGAGAATCGGCACAGGACCCGTGGTAATACAGCTTTCTACTTAAGTGTTTGAACACAAAAGCATTTCGCCCACATATTTGGGTATGCAGCGATACTTAAATGGTATAAGTTACTTTTTTATGCTTCCAAGTTACATACCCAAAATTTGTCGGCCCACTTTTAATTTCTTTAACGATTTTTAAACGAAGGTTAAAAAGTTTACTTTTAAAATGAAAGTTAATTTTATACATCGAAACTATGTTAAAACAATCAGTTTTTGTTGTTTAAAAGGTACAAATAAGAGCGGGTGCACAACTTTGGCTAAAAAATCGCACAACTGTTGTGCGATTGTCGATTGTTTCGCAGCCAATTCAACTGTTTAGTTGCTCAAGTAAAACTCGAGTAGTGTGCGCACTTCTATATAAGCCCACAAAATCAAATCGTGACTAAACAGTTGTGCGATAATATAGTTTTTCCACTCTTTCTTACCTTTTCTAACTTTAAAATAGCCTTATATTGAGGGAAAGATTTTTAAAAAATTTACTTATGTTCGTTGCCGAATATAATTTAGCGCAGAGCTTAAGAAAGGTCATTCACTGAGGTCACGACCCACGAAATAAAAGAAAAGATGAGGATAATACACCTATTGTATTCTTACGGGCTTGAAAAATTAATTTTTATTTTTTGAAACCACGCAACGGGAAAATAGGTCGTGGATAAAAAGTTTTAATTAACAAGCGTACTCCGGTACATATTTGATGAAAAATGTAAAGTTGAGTAACATTCATTAGTAGTTACAAGTGTTTGAAATGGAATATAATAGTGTAGGTTCACACTGGCGAAACAGTTGTACAAAATATTGTATGATGTTTCAGCAATGGAAATGATCAGCAAAAATATTTACTTACTTCGTGGCGTAGGATGTCAGCAATCACAGCATATTTTTGAATAATTCCTTCTTTAATAAAAAGCCCTACACTTATGACACGCTTTAGGCTAAAAATTTTCACGCTATTAAACTTAGAGGGTAATTAAATTTAATAAAAACCTTCATGTGGGAAAGGGACCATAAACTAGAAACTGCCAACATTAAGCTTATTATGGTATTATGGTAACGGTAATTTTGACATTTGCAATCAAGTATAAGACAAAAGTAAACAAAAAAAAAAGTTTTTATAATTTGCGGATGAAGCCGCACGGGAACAGCTAGTTATAAATATTTATCAAAATTTGATATATGGTAATTGGTTATCGATACACAATAAATTCTGAAATTAAGCAAAGCAAGCTTTCCTTTTGTTTTTGCTCGAGAGCGTTATAGAGCTTCAACAACCTTTGACCTGATTAGAGTGGTTTTATGCCCCAGTCGACAGTATTGATCTTTGAGATTCCCTTCCTATAGATAATTTCAACATCTCTATTTTTTTCTCTTTACCAATCAAGACAGACACTGACGTTCTTATCTTTGACCAAGGATATCATCGTTCTAATTATTACTTAAATATTATATTATTACTTATATTATATCTAAGTACTATTTTTTGATCTTTCTTTAATGGGGAATATAACATAAAAATTCTCAAATATTCTTATCATTTTTCCTTAAAATTCCGTACAATATAGTACTTCTAATCGTTTTTGGAAACGGAAATTGTACTACGCGTTGTTGAATTAATTAAACATATTAGTCAATCGAGATTGACGCATGCAATTAACATTCTAATAAAAAAAATATTTTTTTCTCTTACGTACAATGTCAAGGTTGTCATGATGTGTATATAACAATGGAGTTAGGTAACCATGCATAAATAATTATCAAATAGAGCCAAGAACTACGGCTTACTTTAATGCAAATGTAACCTTTTTTCAATTTTACTTGTTCTAATTTAATTTCTAGAACCTTTAGGGCCTGGCCAGTGGCAAATAGAGGTTCAGATAGCTTAAAAATGACGTGACTCAGATATGGTAGCAAAATCGGATATGTCTATCATATATTTTACACGTTGTATTGTCATCAGACAATTTACAATTTGGTGGGACAGGCCCTTAATATCCCGTCTTTTTTATTTTTAGAATTTGATGCAAGTTTTAGTACTGTTAAAATAAACGAGTTTTTCAGCGGAATTTACATTAACATATATATCTCAGTTATTTCGCGGAATATAAAACTATTTATAATCACGATATCAACAAACTGTACTGTACAACTAAATTCAGCTTTGATCTATTTCAGTATGCTATTGAAATTTTACACTCAAGTGTTTTGAATTAACGTTAATTGCGTACTCCAACCCTTCCGGTACATTAGGCGTAACTATTTTAGACAACGTAGCTTAGAATAACACAACTTATAAAGCAAACTCATCTTAACTTTGATTTCAGTTATATTAAATTATTTATAATATTAGAATAGAAGTTTGAATTTTCATCAATATCAAAAGTCTAGCTACGAGTATTACCGTGCGGCTTCATCCGCATGACATTATGATTTTTTTTTATTGTTGTTTACATTTGTCTAATTATCAATAGCAAATGACAAAATGACATGATTTGATGACATACCATGGCAACCCTGCTTCCTTGATGTTGGCAGCAGCTTATGGTATCTTTCCCACATCAGGGTTTTAATCCAATTTATTTAAAAAAAGTGAACAGCCTATGTGTTCTTCCAGACTATCCCTACGCTTATGTCAAATTTCATCGAGATCCGTTCAGTCGTTTATGCTACAAACTCTAACACACATCCATCCATCTAAACTTTCGCATTTATAATATTAATGAAGTAAGGAGTTTTTG